AAGCTGAAATCTGTACTAGAATCACTGAACGAGGTATGTGGTATGTGTGTGAAGGAGAGAGAGCAATGTGACCCCTCATTGCAGTCAGTTGGTGACACTAATGTTCATTAGTTTCTAAAAAGATTTCCACATTATTGTGATTTTTCCTTCATCACTTTGTTGCCTTTTTTACCAAACACCAGATCTAACATTGACTGGATTTCCTCTGCATGTGACTCTCCCAGCAATATGATTTCCACAAGGTACTGGGTTTATGTTTACCAACCCTGCTTCCAAACCTCACTTACTGGCCATTTGGATAACCCACTTAAGGGTTATAAAGGTATGAACCATCAAGTCCATTTCCACATTTTAATTATGCAGAAACCAATTTCCAAAGAGCTAATACAGCTAGTCAAAGACAAAGCTGGAACTCGAGGTAAAGTACTGACTCGAATATTCTCACTATACAACATAGATGATTGTAAGGTTGGTCTAAAAAGAAGAAATGTATATCATCTATCAGGACCAAGTAAATTAATTCAAGCCAATACCATCTTATTTTTTTAATAGCAAGATGAAAACAAAATTGAGGGATCAAGAGATAGAAAGCCATGTAAGGTGGTGAAAATTTTGCATAGACTTCCTAAATGAGGTAGATCTAAATTTGATTTCAGCTCCCTAGTTTACTAGCAATGTTACCCTGAGCAGGTTGCTGAACTTTCTGAACTTTTTGGAAGTTGTAACTGCCTGAGACTTCTAAGAATTAAATGCAGTGGTATTTATAAATTATCTACATATAGTACGTACTCAGTAAATATTGGTTCCCATTATTTCTAATCTGCCACAAAATAGCTGCGCCACTTCTAGCAAATTTCTTTAGCTCTTTGGGTCTCAGTTGCTTCAACTAGAGAAGATGAAACCAAATGAATTCCAAAGTCTCTTTCAGCTCATCAAGAAAGATTTAAATCCCAAAGTAACTAAGCTTCATTTAAATTCAACAAACACGTAAGTACTTCCCATCCATCCCCGCCACTGAACAATTCTAACCACCACCACAGAGGTGTTTATGCATTCAGCAGAGTGAGAGCCAATTCCATATAGCACCTTAAATTCCACAAAGAAAAATTATATGCAAACCAAAGAGCTCTAACTTTAAGGAAAACTCTACAAGGTCATCACAAAATGAATGCTGTAAGTAAAAATATTTTAGGGTCTACCCTAAATTATCATTCTCTCTCTTTTGCTAGGACAGAAAATGTTTATAGTATAGGTCTATAACATGAGACTTAAGAAAAAAATAGAAATTAGTGTCATTTAATTGAAAGAAAAATATGAGCAACAAATTTCTCTTCCCATGTGTGTCTTACAGTAGGTTTTACATTTTAACTTATGTGTGTCATTCTGAAACAAGGGAATAAGATTTATTATGAGAGTATTTTAACAATAATGAATGGTAATAAGAAGGTAGTTAACTATGTTCTCCACGTTACTTTTGAATTTTGTGTATTGGATTTACATTACAATGTGTTATTTTATGTCTAAATATTATAAGCAATACCTAGAAAAGTATTAACTAATCTTACATGAAAATTTTAACCTCAATTTTTTTCTCCTTTTCTGCAAGTAATTATCAATGATTTTTTATTACAAATAAAGCTTTTTACAAATAACACTCTCCTTGTTCAAAATACTATTTAAAAATCATAATTAGGATTTGTAATTGAGGTTTACCTTGCTCCCATACCTAACATTACTCATCTATATTATAGGATTTTAGAATACATATCTTAGATGATAAAATATCAACAACAAAACAGTTTTCCTTTTATAAGTATGAAGAAACAGAAAAGGCCCATTTAAATAGTATCTCAAAATTGGGTGCCTGTAGCTCAGTGGTTAGGGCACCAGCCATGTGCATCGGGGCTGGTGGGTTTGAACCCATCCTGGGCCTGCTAAACAAGAAAAGAAAAAGTAAATAGTATCTCAAATATGTGAAATTAACAATATAATCCTTTCTAAAAATTCAGCAGCTTTTTTCTATACGCTAATCTTTTTGTCCTAAAAGATGATAGAGAATAAATTATGTCCCCAAAATAGATTGTATACAAAGGTTCAGAGAGCCACAGAAATATGCCTTAGGTACATGCCTATCAAGCAGAGTGTAAGCCAGAGACAGATGGCCTGGATCCCATTTCTGTTGTTGCTACAAACTTGATAGGTGATTTTTGAACAAATCACTTTACCTTTCTAGTTCTATTTCTTCATCTATGAAACAGGTGGAACTGTAAGATTTTCTTCCAGTTCCTTTACTTAACATCTGTGTAAATCATCAATGCAGTATGTGAGGGGCATAGAACACAGGGCAAAGCACTCACAGGAGAGCTATTCTGCTTTTTGTGGTGCTGCTGGGACCAGCCAGCTTCTGTAGAGAGCTAGACACTAAATGGCTAGCTTTATGCCTTGGCCCAAGAATACCATCAATGACTATGAAGGCATTTGAAGAAACAAACTACTTTCTGGACATAGCGGGTAAAAAAAAAAAAAAAAAAAAAAAGGCATGTAAGCCCTTACCACCCTAGACCCTTTGTGTCCTCAGCCTTTCATCTTGATTAATAAAAGATACTGAGTTCATTTAGACAACCAGTGCTTTCTGATCCTTATCCTTAAAAGTATAATTCTGAAAAGGAATAATTTTCATCCCAGCTCCCCATCTGATTCTTCAAAATACATAACATTTTGTGAGGCAGCTGCATTGTACACAGCACCCCTGGGGGCATCTGCATCAAACAGAGTGTATGGTATAAAGTAGTGGACTTAAATCTTGGCTGTACTATTAAAGCTTAAAGCCTCTGTGCTTCAAATTCCTATTCTGTAAAATCTAGAAAAACCTAACTCATGGGGTTGTTGAGAGGGCTAAGGCAGGCAAAGTAGTTAGTACAGAGCCCGACAGTAGTGTTAGAATATCTAGCTAGCTAGACATAGATAGATTCTGAAACTTGGGGCTCCCTAAAAAGACTTGCCGAAAGGCCACAAACATTTTGGTGGCTATGAATGGCATCTGCTGATCTGTACTCTTCTGAGCAAACAACATGGCAAAGATTCAAAGCTAGGCTCAACTCTTTCTAATAGGATCCTGCAGAAATAAGGAGGAAATGAGATTATCTTGAAAGTAGGAAAGAGGGCTCGGCGCCTATAGCTCAACCTGCTAAGGCACCAGCCACGTACACCTAAAGTGGCGGGTTCAAATCCCCAGCCCGACCCGCCAAACAACAATGGCGGCTGCAACCAAAAAAAAAAAAAAAAAAATAGCCCGGCGTTGTGGTGGGCGCCTGTGGTCCCAGCTACTTGGGAGGCGGAGGCAGGAGACTCGCTTGAGCCCAGGAGTTGGAGGTTGCTGTGAGCTGTAAGGCCACGGCACTCTGCCCAGGGGGGACAGCTTGAGGCTCTGTCTCAAAAAAAAAAAAAAAAAAAGAAAGAAAGAAAGAAAGTAGGAAAGAGCTACTCTGATTTAAGGCAAGACCTTAAAAAGAAACAAACACACATAGGCAACACACACACACTATGGTCTTGCAGAATCAGAGAAAGGGGGTGGTTTTTCACTCATGCCTTTTGATGTGCCACCAGCTTTAACAGCTACAGAATTTGATAACTGGATGCCTCCCTAGAGACTATCTAGTTCAACTCCCTCACTTGTTAAGTAGCTGAGGCCCAGAGAGATTAAGCAACTTGCTGGAGGTCATTTGGCAGTAAATGGCAGTGCCAGGACAGACAAGGCGCTGACTTTCCCCCCTTGCCCGCCCAGCATTTGATCTGGACCTGGTATCTTTTCAGCAGGTCAGCATGCCGTCCTTGCTGTGCCAGAACATTAAACGCGCGCGCTCACACACACAAACACAAAGGTCTCTCACTTCTCCCCAGGTTTTTAAAAAGAACAGAAGCAGCCTCAGCCCCCATACCTTCTATCCAGAGCCTCCCATCGTGGGAATAGGGGAAGATTCCAGTAAATCTTTAGCCCTCTCTCAAAGCCTTTTCTGGAGTTCCTACTTTTTGTGGTCCTTCCTCACATCCATGCTTAAAGGCTCCTTCTAGAAATTCCTCACCTCAAAGGTCAAGTCACTTTCTAGGACAGATGTAGCGACCTGCTAATTTGTAAATTCTCAGGTTTCCTCAAATGCTGTACGTTAAGATAAGAAACAGGAAACTACACGTTTCCTCCAATCTCCCCGAGTGACTTCAGTCCGAACTGATTATTCCCTCCCCTAGATAACCAGGTTCCTTTATAAAGTGTGTGAGTGTGCGAAGGGCTGGAGAAGCCTGGAGTGCGCCTAAGACAGACCCGGAGGGGAAAACACGGAGGAAGGGAAGATTGGGGGAAGTGGGGGGTCTAGGTAGAGGGAGCGCACTGACCAAACGGCAAAGTCTGCATCCGGGGACAGCTACCCTGCTGAGACTGACTCACAGCTTAGCGACAGAACTGCCCGGGGATAGCACGGTTCTAAATATACACTCCGGTAACTGGGGAACAGACCGGTGCCCAAACTACACGGGCAGGAAGCAGGCGGAGGCTACTCCAAAGCGGCAGGAATAAGGAACCCTCTTTCCCTGCCGTCTCTCCGCTCTCATCTGACGCTCACCACCCTGTGCCTGGCGGACGCACCCACGCCCAGTTCACCAAGTTCTGTCGCATCGCCCCCGTTAGGGAACGCCCCTTCCTGCTATCCCGAGAGACCCAGGGAACGCAGAGCAGCCGAGGTTTGTGCTGGACCAAGCTCCCGCGTCCCTCACCCCGCGGGAAACTGATCCCGGAGAAAGGCTGTCGCTGAGTGCCCGAAGCTGACAGAAGTGGGGCGCTTCTCCCCCCTAAACTCATGTGCCCGCGCGAGGCGCCCCTAAGCCCGAGTGTCTCCCGTGAGGATGAGACTAGTCAAGTGTCACAGATAACTGTTCCTTCCCCATACGCGCACCCATGCGCAAAACCAAAAGGAAGGCTTTGCCTTTGCCTTCTTTCACCTCCCTACCTGAATTCCGGGACGAGGTTAGGCTGCAGCCCGTAGAAGGCAGCGGAAAGAGTTACCAGCCACCCGGGCTTGTAACTCCCATTCTCGCACTCCAGATAAGGCGGAGACCACTTGACATGGCTCTTGTCCCCGCCAAGTCCGTCCCTGCGCCGCCAGCTATGGCCCAGGCCCCGGGGTCCCTGATTGGAGCCGCGCCGGTGTAAGTGGGGCCTCCACTTGCGCCGGAGGCCGTGGAACCACTCGGTCTCCAGCGTGGCATTGGCCAGGTGGTGCGCGGAGGAGGATAGGTCTTGGAGCAGTATGCGACTCTCCTCACGGGTGGCCTGGAGGAAGACCTGTGGGGCCGGTGCGGACAGCGACTCGGTGCTGAAGGTGATGGCCGCCCGGGAGATGCTGGGCTCTCCCTCCAGGAGGCTCCGCACCAGCGCCTGGTACCACTCCAGGTCGTCCTGCAAGTTCTGCTCCCGCGACTTATTGCTCTGCAGCATCATGTTGAGGAAGTTGGTGGCGTGTGTCAGTGTGTCCAGCGCCCCGTGCAAGGAAGGATGAGAGCTGGCGAGGGCTGGCGACTTCCCCGGCAGGCCAGCCAACTCGTAGCGTCCGGAGCAGTTGGCTCGCTTCAGCTGGTGGGAGTCCCCGGTGTAGAGGTAAGAGGCCACGTCCATGGGCACCTCCTCGGCGAGTTTCTGCGCTAAGATGGTGCCATCCGTGGAGCGGCTCCAGGGAGCCGAGGGGTCGGAGGCAGAGGCTCGAGCCGGCTGCTGGGCGTGCTGCTTCCCTCGCAGGGTCCTCTCCCGAGGGGACTCCGGCCGTCCCGCAGGGTCGCGGCTGGCGCCGACAGCTCCCGGTCCCAGATGAGCGAGCAGGAGGCAGAGGAGTAAGGGGCGAGCCATGGCTCCGGTCTGGCTCGCGGAGAGGAGAGGAGGTAACCCGAGGAGTCACTTTTTCAATTTCGATCGTCAATTTCTCAACCGTATGACTTTTACTGGAGTCGTCCCCCTTCTCCAGATGACACCCTGTCCAAAAGGACTTTAAAACAAGAATGTTTCGAAACTGGCCCAGATGGCTAAGCCACCGTCATAGGAAATCAAATCACCTGTGGCAATGCTGGCTGTCCCCGCTCCGCAAGGGGCCGGCTCGGGATTACGCACCTCGCAGCCTCGAGCCAAACAGGTTACATCCCCTCGCGCTCCCGGCGGCTATAGTTAGCCTGCTTACGTCTTCCTGCCCGCCGCTTCCAGCGCCGCTCTCATTGAGGTGTGCTGGAGAGCTGCTGCTGTCGCTGCCGCCGCGCCCGCCGAGGACGCTGCTCCATCATCTCGCCCGTGGCAGGTCGTTCCCGCCTCCCGCCTCTGGCTCCTCCTCGACCGCTTCGCCCGGAGGCGCCGAGCGCGCGCACCGCCCCGCGCCGCGGCGCAGGAGCCAGGCAGCTCCCGGGAGCCCAGGTGTCTTTGAAGACGCTCGCCGCTCCGGCGCGGAGAGGGCCGGGCAGCTGGTTAATTGGAGCCTTCGGGTTTGGCCACAAACCGCACTCCTGCCTCTCCCTGCTCTCGGGAGGAAAGCCAGTTTAAAGAGACAGCTTGGCCGCAACCAAACCCTCGCAAGGCGGCTTCGAGTCGTCTTGCCCCCTGTTTGGTCGGCTCCTCTGTCAATCAGCCGACTGCCATTTGCCGGGCTGGGCGGGAGCTGTCCAGTGCTGAACCCGAGGCGCCGCGCAGCAGGCGGAGGAGGCGGCGCGGGCGCGGGAGGCTGCAGCGCCGCGTCCTGTCACCCACCCGCGTCCCGATGACTCGGAAGCCTGCGGGGACCGGCGGAGACCGGCGGGGACGGGCGGGGGCGGGCGGGGGCCGGGGGCCAAGCGCGATTCTGTGCCTCACGCGAAGGAAACTTGGCCGTACCGAGGAGGAGGGTGTTGGCATCTTGCCCGCTTAGTTGCCAGCCTTTTCCTTCGCCTGGAAAAGAGGGAGAAGAGAGTAGTTTTCATTTCTCACTGAAATCCGAGAGGAGGGACGTAGGATGGAGACGTGTCCTCCCGAGCATCTGCTCATTTCAAGCAAATTGTCAAATCTTCTTCCTTGTTGTCAGTTAAAGAAATGATTAAAGCCCACTTGCTGAGGCTGGTCTCAGCTCCGAGGGAGTAGTGGAGAGAGACAAGGACCAGCTGAGCTAGAAGCGGGGGAACGTGCCATGTTTAAGGAATCTCTTGGGGGGGAGGGGGACTAGAAGAGACGGGAACCTATGAAAATGCGTGAAAAGTAAAAATGTGTAAGCGAGAGAACATGGGGGTGGGCAAGACTGGTTGGAAAGAGAGAGGAGAATGAATAGACTGAGAAGGGAAGTCATTCTGACGGGGAGTTCCTGGAATGAAGAGATAAGAGATAAGAACTAATATTTCTGGTTAGCTATTGGTAGGGCCGTCCCAACAAAAGAAAGAAGTGCTGAATAAGAATCCCAAGCCCCCCCAAAAATTATTAGAAAACCCCTTAACACAGTCTAATTGTTTTATTTGAAGCTTATTAAGGAATTTGAAAGTGTCTGAAAATAGATCAGCAACAGATATGTCGTGTTTTATGTACCTCCACTTTTCATATGCACTTTTCATTTTCAAAGTTCTCAAAAAAGTTCACTTCTATTCCCAACTAATAAAAATGTCCCCTCTGGGCCCGGGGCAGTGGCTCACTCCTGTAATCCTACCGCTCTGGGAGGCTGAGGCTGGGGGATTGCTTGAGCTCAGAAGTTTGAGAGCAGCCTGAGCAAGAGTGAAACCCCGCCTCTAAAAATAACCAGGTGTTGTGGCAGGTGCTTGTAGGAAGGCGGAAGCAAGGGGATCGCTTGAGCCCAAGAGTTTGAGGTTGCTGTGAGCTATGATGCCAGGCACTCTACCCAAGGTGACAGAATGAGACTCTGTCTCAGTAAACAAACTTAACATATCTTGGAAATTTAAAAAAAAAAAATGTCTCTGGCTTTCTAACCTAGCATCCCTTACACCGTACCATTCTAGAATAGCCAGTCCAAAAGAATAAAAATCTTTGTCCGCATTGGTCACAGTAGTATCTTAAGCACCTACACTAATACCTGGTACATGACGGATTTTCTCTAAAATAGTTGCCAAATTAGTCAATGAACCTGAAGATCATGATGATGAAGCTAATTAGTTAAAAATCCATCTCTTCACCCAAGAAGAGAAGTCTGCCTGATGTGCCAGCGGTGAGGGCTTTTGGAAGAAGACATGGCAACCGGTTTTCCAAACTGCAGTGCAAGGTCTCCAAGCGAGTTTGTGTAGCTATACAAAGAACGGTTATTAGATTTCTATTTACTTACAAGCAGATTTCATGTCCAGATCCAACTTCTTGTTTAAATTTTGATTTGCAGTGTATGCTCTTATGCTAAGTAAAGGTCATCCCGGTTTAATGCTTTGCTATAGTACATGTGGCAATAAAACAGAAGGAGTTTCTGTTTGTTTACTGTATCAAAGCATGCACTAGAATTTTCCATTTGCTTCACCATCTAAAGACGGACATGTAATTTCCTCATCAATTCATCTTTTTAGAAAATCTACACAACTTGTTAACAATTCGTTAAAAATTTCTGGTACCTACATTAAAAAGCAAGGCATAATTTTATTATTAGATCCTTCTATAAGTGATTCAGTGGTTCAGCATAATCCAAAGACCTGGGCTCTGGTTTCAGTAGATAGACCATCTTAAGTCTATGCTAGTGTCCTCAATAAAGGAAATAATTTTAAAAGGTTCTTATAAGGAACCAAGACTTAACACACACACACACACACACACACACACACACACACGCACACATCCCTCCATACAGACTACAGAATTCCACACCATCTTTCTTGAATGTCATTTAATTCAATAAATGTTCATTCAGCCTGTAGAGACAAGGCCATCAGCACCCTGAAAACTCGATTCACAATAACGTAGAATAATAAGAGAAAAGGATTACATGTTTATTCACCATACACATGGGGCGAATTGCAGTTATCTCCCAATTTCTCAATGGGGTCCAGAAGTTTATACACCTTCTTGAGAGAGCCTTGGTTGTATAAAATAGATTGTGGAAGGAGGGTGAGAAGAATTTTATTGAGGGGCAATAAATGATTACCAGGGGAAATGATTAGATGGGGAAACAGATTTTTAACTTGTAAATAGTTTTCTTAGAATGTAAATGATCGTTGGAAATAGGCCTTATCTTGTAAAGGAGTCTGCTCAGGTGTGGTTATATTCTTGATCTTCTTTCCTATAAAGAAGGATGACATAACAGGTAAGGGAACAAGGACAATTGTTCCCCTTGGTGGGTCCACTCTGTCTTTATGTAGACAGGAGAAAAGTCCCATCCAAAGCCTACTGATCTTTAAAGGTTTTTAACTCAAAAATACTCACTAGACCTGGGAACCATATTTTAGGGTGAAATTCCCTATGCTCTTTCAAGGCTCTGCTACACATCAGGCATTATGCTTGGTACTGGGGCAAAAGAGGCAAAATTGGGAGGGAGAGAGATAAAAAGGCAAACACGGTTTGGCACCTGTAGCTCAGCAGCCAGGGCGCCAGCCACATACACCAGAGCTGGTGGGTTTAAATCCAGGCTGGGCCTGCCAAACAACAATGACAATTACAAAAAAAAAAAATAGCCAAGTGTTATGGTGGGTACCTGTAGTCCTAGCTACTTGGGAGGCTGAGGCAAGAGAATTGTTTAAGCCCAAGAAGTTGAGGTTGCTGTGAGCTGTGACTCCATGGCACTCTACCAAGGGCGACATAGTGAGATTCTGTCTTAAAAAAAGAAAAAAGGCAAATAAATGAGATAATTGCATATTTTGATAAGTACCAGGAAGAAATAAACACTATGAAGTGGCAAAGAGTGCCAGGCATAGGGGGAGAGAGCTTCTTGTCTAAAGAGATGAAGGAAAGAAAGACTCTATGAAGAGACGACAATTGAGTTGAAACCTGAAGGGTGGAAATTGCTTAGATAGCAGAAAGCAGCAAAGTGACTTAGTGTAAGAAACTTGCTGTTCTAAAGCAGTGAGAAGTGCATTCACACCCTACTCCCTCTACCTAAAAGGGAGTAGGGTGTGAACGCCCTAAGACTACAAATATTCTGTGCTTAGCAGGAAAGTGGAATGGAAGAAATTAACTTCTATAACTTGAAGTTCACATGTCATATAAAAAGTACAATCAAGACGAAAGGAAAATCATTTTACAAGACAATCAAGACAAGTGGCTCTGGAATAAATATACCCCTTGCCCCAATTATGCAAACATATTTTGTAGAAGTAGTAAATATCCCCGTGCATGCTCCGAAATTAAGAACTAAGTTGTCTAAATGCCCATTTGTACTGTGTAGGAGCTTGACTGGAATAATAGATACAAGAACTATAGTCCATGGGGGACAAAGCCCAAGAATTTCTTTTTTTAAATCACAACCTGAAAAGTCAATCTCATTGTTTTAGAACAGTAAAATTTGCATTGACAAAAAAGCAATATGGAATGGCGTTTTGAGTTATTGGTTGTCTTTATATGATTAATTTATTTCTATCCTAACAAAAAAGAACACCCTGAGACTAGATTTTATGGAAGTAGCATAGGTAGAATTACGTTTTATAAAAAAAATTAAATGCTGTTTTTAAATCATTTAAATAAGGAAAGATTAAGACAGTGGGATGGGTGAAAGACACTAGATCAGCCATTGAGAGATCCAGCTCTAATTGGTTCTGTCATTTTCTAATCATGTGACTTTGAAAAATTTTCTCAACTTCTCTGCACTCTTTTGTTTTATCTGTAAAATAAAAGTGATGTACCAGATATATAATCCACAAGAGGGACAATTACATCTGAGTGTGGATGACGGTCTAGGTATATCTTCCAGGAATTCATTATTCTTAATACTCTTAAATTTATAAGGTAAAGGTTATTTTTAATGTAAATAATGATGGATTTCAGTAAACAAAGTAAACTCAGGCAAATTTCTGAGAAAGGAACTAAAACTACAGATAGCATAGTCCTTTATTTTTGAGGCAGAGTCTTACCGTGTCACCCCCGGTAAAGTGCCATAGCATCACAGCTCACAGCAACCTCAAACTCCTGGGCTCAAGCAATTCTCTTGTCTCAGCCTCCCGAGTAGCTAGGACTACAGGTACCCACCACAACGCCCAGCCATTTTTTTGTTGCAATTGTCATTGTTGTTTAGCTGACCCGGGCTGGTTTGAACCCAGCACCCTCAGTGTATGTGGCTGGCACCAT